AAAAGAATAGACTCTAAACATTAATAGTGGTGTGACTCTGATTCTCAGCCAGTGTCTACATAACTCACTAAGTTACTGGAGCTATGATTGTTTACCCTAGTTGAACATCTGACCCAGTTTCTACAAGCTTACGCACACTAGATAATGTTTATGGGTAATCCTATTATTTTTGCAAGTCACTACATCTTCATGATTTCTCAAAGAATTTTTTTAATCCATTAGGTGTCTCGTGGTATCTTTGAAGAAATGAAATATCTGGAGCTCATGATAGTCAATGACCATAAAATGGTAAGTATATCAGGTTAGTGTTAATCTTCCCTTTGATGATGATTTGTGGGTTGATGTACAGCACTGTGCTGCATCAGCTACTTCTGGGTCAAGTGTTTAGTTTATCAGCAGCTGTTAGCATTTACACTGTAAGACACAGTATAGGCCATAATATGTAATAATGCTTAATGTAACCTAAGATTTTCTACAGCAATTACATATTCTCAAAGTGTGTCTGAAACACTTAGCCATATTAAATTATCCATATGATAGCAATAACCAACAGAGTAACAAAACATTTATGTCCAGAACAAATACATTAAACATCAGAAAACTACATCTTGTCCTTAAACTAATAACGATGTCAAAACTCGCCACTTTGAGTTTAGCTTTACTAACTTAAATTTAAATGCAGCAAAGCATATAGACAAAACTATCTGATTGTTCTCCTGGCTATTCCCCACTTAGCAACAGCATTCATAATGAAGTCCAAGATAAGTTACTTGTTCGATTCAGGTGTCTGTCATTTGATTTAAAAAAAAAAAAGGGGGGGGTTGGGGGTGAGCCAACTTTTTTTTTTTTTCCCCCCTCCATTTTGTTTTTCAGGATGGCTGGAAAAAATGAGACCAGCTGACATTTGTTGTTTAAATGTTACTGTTTTCACTGATTATGCTAAGTAAGACTGTCCAAGTGTCCATGTGTTACCCTTATGAACAGTCAGGAGGGAGCAGCCTGGGGAATAATGAGTTCTGTAAACCAAAACAGCTGTTTTGTAGACCCTTTTGGAAAAGCATCACAAATCTGAGTTCAGTAGCTACATTTTAACTGGAGCATATCTGCTATGGAGAAATAGTGTATAAGTTTTCTAATAACAAAGAATATCCTGCAACCAACAGTGAGTTACTCTAAAAACAGCTTGATTGTGTCTTGTTCTGAGCCCTTGTCTCACTTAGCTTTTGCAGCTGTTCACGGGCTAAAAGTCAAATAAGGATCATCAACTCTTAACATGACTTTGCTTCTCTGTGAGCAAGACTTTTTTTTTTTTATAAATCAAATTCTGTTGATAAAACAGTTTCTGCTTATTTTATGTGCAAGTAAAATAAACTTTTAGGTTTCTGTATGAGCTTGTGCCTCGCACTCTACTGCATGTTTTCCCAGTGCGTTATGTCCTGTGGGCTCTCTTGTCAACATGGAAGGATGATTTTACAGAGCCAGAAGTAGCAGATAGCAGAACAGGATTCAGTGTTTTGTATTGCTCCAGTGCCGAATAGACAGATAATACAACCTTCCCTCATCTGTTTGTTAAATCATAGAAATAGTCTGGGCAAAAATAGCCTGTGTTTAATCTGTGTCAGCTGAGCAGTGGGGGGGGAATTCAGATGGGTTAGAAAGCGTAGGACAGCAATTTATTCAACTGCTTTTGCCTGTAAAGCCACCTCGTAGGAAACTATCCCGAGTGCTAGTTGTATAGGGGTAGGGCGTAGTAGCTGAAGGTACAAACAAGACAAGTTTGTTGTCCTCCTTGAGGCCTGTGGTTGGCGTTCCTTACGGAGAGAGAGTATTTCTTTCCCCGTTTGCTCTGGCCTCCCGCATGCGGACATGCGCCTGGGACAGCCGTCCCGTTCCCGCACTTGGGCCAGGCCCTAACCGCTGTCTCCTCTCGGGCCGGTTTCTTACAACTGTGTTCGTTGCTTCAGGGCTGTCCGGTGATGCTTGTGAGGGGATAAACCGGCTGTCCTTGGGAGCGCGTGCCCCTGCCCCCTAACCCCCTCACCCCGTAAGGGCTCCCCCTCACCAGTAGAGAGCGCACTTCTGCAGCAGGCTCGGGGGGGGGGCACACCTTAACCCCTCTTCAGCCATGGGCTGCCAGGTGCCCACTGCTCTGTTTGCAGCTTTCCTGCCCTCTGACACCACACCCCCACCTCCACGCATTTAATTCGGTCATCGCACTTGCCTTAGTTTCTGGTTTAGGAGCTGTGTTTACACAACACATAATGTTGCATATTGCCGTTGATTTTGGCATTTAAATAGTTGTTGGGGAGGGGGCCTCTGCAAAACTATGCTGCTGGATCTTTGGGTACCAAAACCTGTTGGGGAACTTAACAGTGAATAACTGCAGATGTTAAAAAAAAAAAAAAAATCTTCCTGCAGTCAAATGAATGTCGTCATTAAGTTTGAGCTTTTTATTCTCTCTGTGGGATTTCATCCATCTGAAACTAGATTGCATGGCAAAAGTAACTGGAATTTGAAAGGATGGAAAAAAATTATCTAATAATATAGTGTGTGCGTATGTCACTCTTCTGGCCTTTACTTTGAGAAACAGATTATTTAATTTTAAAAGCATATATGTCTTGCGGCTCTACTTTCACCTTTGCAGCAAGCATAACTCTGGAAAACAGGGGATTTATCTGATTTGGGACATATAACTTGATGTAGCAACTCAGTTGCTCAGAGAAGAGACAGACCCTCATGTTTCAAGCCCTATTTTTGGGTATTGGGTTTCAGAGTGGGAGTAGCTGACAATTTCACGGAACTTGATAACGGTTGCTCATGAGGTGATGTTGCTTTTCACCAGTAGCTGAAATCAGTAAAGAGTTTTTTAATGAAGACTTTTTGTCTTCATAGAACGATTCGTTCTATGCAATTTTGTGTTCCTTCTCTGTGAAATTTTGAAGTCTTACTTTTCCTGCCTGCAAATCATATTGTGCAATGAAATTTTGAGTTAGAATTTTACAATCTTTTGAAGCATTGATTAATGTTCAGATACCATAGCAGCATTTTTGGAAAACTTGACATGGAACAGAGGGGACTTGTGGGGCAGGATGAGGAAGGACATGAAACAATTGTAATGACGTGCACAGAAATTAGGAAGCGGAACTGGTAATACAGCTCATCTAAGTCTATAGAAGGGGAAAAAAATAAAATTAAAACTTAAGATATTCAGCCAAACTCTTTCCACATTCAAACATATTTACTTTTACCATGCGCTCGCTTTTCCTTTTTGCCTTTTGGTGTAACTAACGCTACTTGTCAGAGAAGCCTGGTGCTGTAGTAGAGAAAGGATGTCTTTGCAAGGAGCTGTACTTGGGACAAGTGGCCAGTGCTTAACCTTCATGTCTTACAGTCATGGAACACAGCTGTACAGTGTGATAATTAACTGATCAGGGTAAACACAGTGTTAGCAGGTACAGCATCCTCTCAATTTTGAGCTCATGTTTATTTTCATGTTTACCTGTAATTTTGTCTTGAACATTTGAACTCTGATTCTGAATTAGATATTTCTCGTGGCAAAATGCTCCTTTTACGGATGTGAAAGGTTGTCTGTCACACATGGCTTCCTTTACCTTCCAGGGATTCGTAAGTATGAGAGAGAGGCTGTGATCTGAAAAGCTTTCCGAGTTTTTCCCTTACTCTTTCTTAAAATATTAATTTTCCTTTCTTGCTGTAAAAATAAAGAATTAGTAATAAATATTTAAGTTCTCACTGTGTTCTACTTTTTCTTTTCCATTTAGTTCAAAAAGCACCGTTCTTCAAATGCATACACAAACAATTTTGCAAAGTCTGTGGTAAACCTTGTGGATGCTGTAAGTATCAATGTCTCTTCTGGAAACTGTATCGCTGACTTTGTTAGTTTAGTGCTGTATTAAAAATGTTAACAGCAGATACCAGGATAAAAAAAAGAGTAGCTATAAAAATTACATTTAAAAACTCATTTCCAGTTCCTCAGCAGAAGAATAGCCTGGGGTTGAACGTGCAAGAAACCACCAAATTATCCTTGAGAGTTTTCTCAAAGCTTCCAACTGCCAGTATGCCCTTGGCAGGGAGGATTTCAGACTTGAAGGAGCTTTCAGTATCTGTCACTGCTGAAGAACATGATCTAATCGAGTTTAGATTTGTGAAACAAATGTAACCACAAGTGCTTGAAGCTGCGAGTATAGTTTACACAGGATACCCATATGGGTTGGGAGAAAAGAATGTGAATAAAAATTCTCCTTTATAAAATCTGCATTTATTGCTTAGAAACAAACAAAATCCCACTGTACTACATTATAAATGGCTGGTGCTGATGCAGATACCATACGTGTATCTTTGACTAAATTTAGAACAATTTCACACAGAGCATATAAACTAAAAGTAAGACTTGTGGTAAAATTTGATGTTTTTTTTTTCATTTTGATATGCGTGTAACGACCATGCTCATTTCAGAGCTGTGTTCGTAAGGGAAACAGGATAGATTCTCTAATAGTGATGAATACAAAGGCTAGCAAAATTCTGACTTTCCACGTGATGTTCCAACAGAACCATGTGATGTGATACAGTGCAAAGCATTGTCAACAGTTTGTTTACTTTGGAGGAAGCAACACAGTATTTGTTCTTAGTATCTTACATATAAAGTATTATCTATGCTGGATGTGTATTGGAAATCTAGGTGAATATATTTATAATACATGAACTACTGGAATTGTTTTGGAATATTTTTGTCTAACGATCTGAAAATAACAAGTAATCTGAAGAAATATTATTAGAGCAGATAAAAATACAAAAAAATTAATATTTCTGCAACTTATATTGTACATTGCCGAAGAAAGGGTGGCATTTTCATTTTCTTTTTATTTCTTCTGCATTTCAACAAAAGTTATTTAATCTCTCTTTCCTTTCTCTGACTATTCCTTCTGTTTTTCCATTTTTATTTGCCGTATGTGCATCTACAGAGATATCAGATTCTCTCCAGTATAGAATTCAGTCCTCTCTGTAGAGATCTTGCAAAGTGACATCTTAATGGCCCTTCCTTTAAACAAAGAGTGAAAAGGAGCAGGAATTTCTGCTTTGTTATTCCCTTGTGTTCATGGGAAGTGGGCTGTAGTTCTTGCTGACATATTTATTACTGGGAAAAGGATATCGGCTTTCCAGTGCTTCCAGGTTCTCTGCCCCTCTTCCATTCTTTCCTCTGTTTGCTTCAGGAAATGTGGTATTCCTCTCAGCAAACACAAGTGAAGTCCTGTGTTGATCCACCCATATGTGGTTTCTGGGGTTTAATTTTACTGATTTTTCTCATGTCCTTAACTGTTTTCTGTGTATGACCCCAGCCTGTCTCCTTCAGATTGAAGCATATTAATATTCTTTTTTCCTTCAACGTTCTTGGCCAAAATTGAGTTTAACTGGTTGCTCTCTCTTGCTCTTATGTTTATTGCCTTTTTTCTAAGCTGAATACTGTGTATTGATGTTTTTGTAAGGATAATGCTGCCTTGATACACGAGTTTGGCACGCTAGTCAGTGCCAGGTTATTCAGTGTAAATACTTACTGTAACTGCAGGAGGACATTTGCATTCCATGCTGTGTATTGTAGGCATAATTTGGCAAAAAGATAATAAAAGCATATATTCAATGTGGTGCCTCATGGAAGTGCCCAGGTAACTTGACTTTCATGTATTTTATGCATTAGGCAGCCAATGGATTAATTATCCAGTACTTTTAGATCATAACTAAGTATGGTCAGTGTTGTTTGTGTCCCGTGTAAGACTTCTGCTGGGCAGACTGCTGTTGCGGATAAGGAATGCATCTTTTGTAGTAACCTTAGTTAACAAAACTTAGTACTTTATTACCTGAGCCTGAAGAGAGCAGCAGTTTTATTTCAGAATTATCTCGCACAAAATTAAAATGGGTATTTTAAAGCTGTTATGTTATTATTAGGGCATGACTGTCGTTTCCTTGTCTATTGCTACAGTGTCATTAAAATTAATAGAAAAATTAATATTCTTAATTCTCACATTACTTGAATCTCATTAACTGATTATACTGTAAATGAAAATCAAGCATTGTATGAATTAAATTTTGGATATATTGGACAACTGAGAGATTCTTTAATCTTGACTTAAGAATTAGCTTTGGATATTCTTTGTCTTTTAGATCTTTCTTTTCTTTTTCTTTGACATCACCCAGTGTACCGTTACATTTCTTTGTTGACATTTGTACAGGTTTTTGTGCAAAACTCAGTGGTGAAATCATTTGACATGAGAATTTTAAAGAAAAGGGAGTAGCTCAAAAAAAAAGCAGCAAGGGTGGTTTTGTCCTTTAAAAGATAAAAATTAGTTAGATCAGTGTATTAACTTCTAAGAAATCCAAGGCATTCCCAGCTAACTGTTTCCCCATGTTTCCTTCCTGCCTTATCCCTCTTGTCCTTCCGCTTTACTCTTACTGGCTAGCTGTGCATGTTTGACCCAGTGTTCTACTCCTGTGCCTGTCCTGTCTCTGCCCTCAGATATACAAGGAACAGCTGAACACCAGGGTGGTTCTTGTCGCTGTGGAAACTTGGACAGACAAAGATCGTATTAATATTCACCCTGACCCTCTGCAGATGCTTCACGATTTCTCCAAGTATCGACAGCACTACATCAAACAGCACGCTGATGCTGTGCACCTGCTCTCGTATGTACCCATGTACCATGGCTTAGACTACTGTGGTATTTTATACTTTTCTACCTACTGCTTTTCTCTACCTGTCTCTTCTTGCTCACTTTTTTGCTTGGTAGTCACTACATCAATCAACATCTGCCTTCCTTAGGAAGCTTAAGCTATTTTTTAACATGTTACTCTGTTTTTAATAGGTGTAGTATATACAGTGGTCATGTTGGTATGTATCTATAATGAAATTTTAATGCCTTTGCAACCTGGAGACTGTCACATATTTGAAGTGCCTTCTGATGAGCCCTTAAGGACACCTAGTGTTCCTAATCATGTGTGTAATGTACTGCTTTCACCGTAAAGAGCAGAAGGGCAGAGCTGACAGTTGCCACAAGAGCACTCCAGTTGCTATATTTATTCACACATGTAGCTGCAGTGATGTGCTACTGGAAGGTCTCCTGTTAGAGCTATAGTGAGTTGTTTTCTGAGAAACAATGCATTTTGAGTGGAAATGCCACTTGCATCAGTAGGCACAACACCAATGTTAAGCAACAGTGTGTTTTTACTTCATGGCCTTGTAAGCAAAGAGGAGGAAGTGTGTGTTCCCTGTGCAGCATCAAGATCTCAAGCCTTCTCCCAGCAGTGTGACATACTATAGGATGGCATGACATATGTCTTCCATGCGATTCTCCTATCATTCATCTTCTGCTGAGGAAGATAAAAATAGGGATAAGAGCTTCCTCCAGCTTCTGTCATAGCTCTGCTGCCCTGATACAGGCATCACAACACAGTGCTCATTGCGTTTCTCGTAACGTGCGTAAGCGCTGATGATGCACACTCTTAACCCTTATGCACGTATCGTGTCGCTTGCTGAAGAGCTTGCGGGTGCGCAGACAGGCTCTTCTCAGTGCACAGTGAAAGGTAGGTGCCAAATGCAAACTGAAGTGTAGGAAATCCCATTTAAACATAGGGAAAAAGCTATTTCACTGTGAAGGTGGTCAGATGCTAGAACAGGTTGCTCTGAGAGGCTGTGGAGGGTCCATACTTGGGGATACCCAAAAGCCAAGGGAATGTGGCCCTGAGCAGCCTGCTCCAGCTGAGCCCCCTTGCAGCCAGGGGGTTGAACTAGGCCATTTCCAGAACTGCCTGCCAACCTCAGCCCTTACACTGGCTCTGTCTATTGTAAAACATCTAGTTTTAATCATTTAGCATAGTCAGAACGTTCTGAAAAAAAATATATATATCTGTCTGGAGAATCCTGTTATTTAAAAAAAGTCAAAAGGGGCACTGATTCTGCTGTTATAAAAGGATTTAAATTTCAAAGCTTAGTCATTGGCTGTGCATGCCCAAGGCTGTGTAGATTTATTATTATGCCTATGAAGTTAAAATAGGTATCATAAATAATTGTTTACAGACATTTTATAGAATAATTTATATCTTCCAGATTACGTGAACTTAACTAAATTATTTGGGGCTTAGCTGCTTTTTAAAAATATTTAAATAAAATTATCATGTGGTGAATCAGTTGTTCAGAAAAAGCCCCACAGTGATTAACAATTAATGAAAGAGGGAGGGCTAAAGGGCAGTATTAAATTACTTTCCCTTTAGGTATACTTCTCAGTCTTCATTTGGAGCTGAAACTAGAACTTGAATTGGTTTGGAGTAGGAGCATAATTAAAAAAAATTCTCAACACTGATATAGGTCAGTACAGAATTCCTTCCTGACAGATTATAAATTGGAATATATTGCTATAATTTTAAAGGAAATGTTATCATTGTATTTTCTCAGGGATGAGTACTACTAGCTTCCTCTGCTTGGTTGGTTTGTGGGGTGGGACTGATTTTGACACTACAAGATAAAAGTAGTATCTTTATCGAAAGTTGTATCTAATCGACTCTTTCGATGTTGGTGTTCTGTTTGTAAACCTGCAGTCACTTTTGATGCTAGATGAGGATTACTGTGCATGCAGTGTGTCATCGTACGTGTGAAAATGTTATCTTTTGACAAGTTCTGGTGTCCAATGTCAATGTGGTGGTTTTTTTTTTTGCTTGTAAGGAACGTGACATTTCACTACAAAAGGAGCAGCTTAAGTTACTTTGGAGGGGTGTGCTCTGTGGCCAGAGGAGTAGGAGTGAATGAGGTAATCTTTTTTTTCATGACTAAAGTGAAATAAAATACAAACTGTACGTTATAACCTGAGAGTTTATATGTTTCAGTATTCAGGGCTTTAAAGATAACTTACATGTTAAAAAATAACGATTATCACAGCCAACCTTCTTGCGTCATCATTAAACTACTGCTCACTGTGCTTTTCATTTTAAAAAGTGTTCCTTCTGTCTGCACTGTTTTCTTACTAAAAGACAATTTAAGATCTTACTATATTTGACAGCAATTTAGAGCCAGAAATCTCAGACAGGAGTATTTGAAATACAGCAGTGAACATCCTTTTGGGTATTCTCGCTACGAGAGGCTTGTTCTTCTGAGGTGCTGATGACATAGTTCTTTAACATTAAAGCTAGAACAATTTGGACCCTGTGTATTGATTTTTTTTTTCTTTATTATTATTTTTTCCTTAGTGCAGTGCGGTGTTACATTGATGATGAAAATTTCCTGGTTTAACGTGGGTTCATCATACTGTACACAACTATATTACATACATACCAAGCAGCCTCCTTTCTGTAGGTTAACCAGCAGACGGGGTTCCTGCAGGTTCAGAGAGGAGATTTTTTCTGTTAGGTACTTCACTGTGATGGTTTTCCTTAGAAGCACATAGCATTGTGACCGGCTGTGCAGAGCTACCGAAGTAGTAGGTTATGTGGTAAACCAGAATGAGCCGGTGTGGTGTTCATTAAAATAACTTAGGCTTTCTTTTTTCTTTTTTTTTTAATTGCACTCGTGAAATGCAGTATGGCCTCCCTTTGGCCATGGCACAGGAGCTAGCCCAGAGTCTTGCTCAGAACCTTGGAATACAGTGGGAGCCAGCTGCCAGGAAACCGAGTATGTGCATGGAGTCTTCTGCCCTCCTTAGCTACGTATACAAATTCTTCCTATGTGCTGTCTGGAACAAATACCAAACTTGCTGTAACTGTAGATCAGGAATTGCTGCTTTTGGAAATGTACATACCAAAACCTGAGGTTAACCAAAATCGGAGCCACCAGTTTAGATCTCATTTTGCAATGACCTCAGTGATGTCCCATGCTGGGAGGTCAGATTCATAACCAGCATTCAAAGGTATAATGGTAAAGACGCCCTGAATTTAACTTGGAACTCCTTACCTACCATCATGAAATCCGTAATTCCTATAGCACTATCACTGACTTCTTAAAATACAAAAATACCTAGTTTATGGTTGAAGCTTACCCGGTAAGAAGCTGTAACCTAGTGCAGGGTGACATTTGCTCAATTTGCATCTTGCTGCTTCACAGCCAGAAGATTAGACTGGCGTGGCTCTAGTGCCTGTGGAGCGCAGGTACAAAAGCTGCTGCAAGAGCCCTCTGTGGGGCTAAAGAAAACTGTTGGGTTTTTCCACTCGTGTCTTGTAAGCAATTCGGCTACTTCTTGCTGCTTCTCTCAAAACGTGAATGATCATGCTGACTTTATTTTGGAATCACTCCAGAAATCCGTGAATTAGGAAGCAATGTGGAAAAGTTTAGAGGATGCGGTTTGCAAAGCATCCCTTTGGAATTGTGTAAACTTGGAAATTGCTAAAATATTTTCTGTATCGTTGGGTTTTGATTACGATTAAAAGAGTTCCTATCATTTGGAAATCGGAATGATAATGCGTTTTAAAATGACAGCTTAGTTTCCTTATTTGGAAAGGGTATCTTTGTAGAGAAAGATTAATGAATGACCTGGATAGAGTAGAAGTAGCCATATATGTAACCGGTGAATGTTTTCTGTGGAGAAACAGTGTGGATTTGCTGTTGTAACTAGAATACAGAGCCTTTCTTCTTAAAAATGTTACTTCCTTGGTCGATAACTGTTATGGGTAGTGTATAACTTCTGTTTTACCAACCATACGTTGTTGATCTTTCGGCTTTACTTCGTGAATTTGGTCACTGTTGGCTTACATGCTGTAGCTGTAAGTAAACTGTACATCCATTTTCACTCAACTACTTTTTCTAGTGAATGTTTGATTGGCTGATTCGCATGTTACTGTTAATCATTCTATGACAAAGGAAAAAAACGTGGCCTGTCCAGTACTAATTTTCTGTCAGGGTGTTCTGCACAGATTTTAGGGAGGAGGAGATGTTAGCATTTTTAATCATCAGTATCACTTGAACTGCACATACCCGTGTGCTGCCTGTTTTGAGAGCAGGTAGGGAAGAATGTTGTCAGCTATTTTTCACTTCCTGTACTGCCTGGAACTGTGTGTTGAGTCTAAGAATGTGCACATACTGTAATGTGGATGTACCACTTTTATGTCAATTATATCAGTGTCTCTTCAAGTGGGCTGGTTTCCAGTTTAGGGCTAGATTCTGTACAGCCAAGCAATCATCTAAGCCTTGTATAATCCGTTTTTATAGAGAGTGCTTTATGTTTATTGTAAGCATATTTATAACTGCTTTCCTTTTCTGTTGCATTTTGGTCTTGTCTGAGAAGAGTGTGACTGCACTGAATCCTGGGGTGGTTGCATCATGGAGGAAACGGGGTATGTCATAACTATTGGTAACGGAGGGCTCTGGAATGAGTTCGCAGTGTACATTATGACACTTATTTAATAAGACAAAACAGGGCTTCCCATGAAAGTCATTGAGCTGACAGCTGTTGGAAGCCAGAAGAATACTCTGCAAGTAGTAGTACGGTGCTGTGTTCTCTGCTCTTCCCTGGGCATATTCTCAGGCCAACATCAGAGATGGCATCTGGGTAAAGTGGAGTTTTAGTCTGACCCTATACAGCTGTTCTTATGGCTGCAATTACTTTCACTTTATGTTAATAAGGTTAACTTTTGATCAGATGAATTGAACAGTGTTAAAACCCTGGCATGAAATCAGGGATCTGGAATGTAATCCATCTTTTAAACGGAGCCTACAGGGAAAACAAACCCAAGAGAACACTGGATTATGCATGCAATCCAGCGGGTGCACAGCAGCTATCATGATAATGTGGTTTCATATCATTAAGAAGATTAGAAGACTACAGCTTCGTATACCGTAGATCCACATAACAGAAATAGGAAGATGCAAACTGTTTAAAGACTTTTGTTCCAGTTTTCTTGTTTGAGAGTAAGACTCAGCTGACATACTGTTGCACACAGTGGTTGTAAGAAACTGGGATTTACAGTATTAAAAAAAAGTTGTGACCCCTCTGCCCCCTTCCAGTAACTGTTGGAGTTTTGAGGCGTTTTACTCAGCTAATTCTTTGCCATTTCAGGGTATACCATTCCAGGAAATTTTCCAAATGCAGCATTGCAGAATACAAAGAATTTTTACTTCGGGGGGGAGGTGCCTGTCTTTTCAACAGGCCAACAAAGGTAATAATTTCACTACCACCCATTGTCCTCAAATTTATTCAGTTGTCTGTGTGGGTATTTTCTTGAGGTTGTTTGTAATTAGCTGACTGTTCATTCCCATAACATTTAAAAATAATCTTAAGAGGAATGCAGCTTGTTTTCCATCAATTCTTCATGCTCAAGTAATGACAAATATTGCAGTTGACATTTCACAGCTAGATACATCCCCATTCAGCATTAACGCACCACTTATTCAGCTGGAAGTGATGCAAAATAAATCTAGAAGTGAGGCTGTAGTGCATAGTCCACATACTCTCAGTTCTTGGACTTTTTGCCTACGGTTGTTAAAAAGAATGCCAATTAACACTAGGAATTAGAAATCAATAGCTCACTTCATATAGAGAGTAGCAGCTTGTGGTTTTTCTCAAAATTAACTTCATTTCAGATACATGTCAAGCAAACTCAGTAACTTATAACTGTTTCCTTGTACCATCCATTGCTTTTTTCACCAAAAAACTTACCAGGGTCACAGGTTTTTTTAAGACAGTATTAGCATGACATCCTTCTAAAGCTGAGTAGTATAAAAATATTCCATGTGGCTGTTTTTGCCAAGGAAGATCAATCCAAAGTATTAATATTCCATTTAATCACGGTGTCAAACTTGCTGTCCTTGTAGAATTGAACGCCACGTGAGCCTATTAGGCTGTTCCTTGCACTGTGCAGTATCCTTTGGCAGCCTAGCACCTTGCACAATTCACTAATAAAATTTTGCTTGTTATGCGTGCTTTTTAATCTTTTCCCAGGGTAGCAGTCTTTTCTTACAGAGTAAGCATGTTAGAATTCCTACAGGAAAGAGTAGGTAGGGAGAAAGGGAACGGCAGCTTTCTTTGATGATGGTTGTCTAGAAGGGCAGTGTGACTAAATTGCCAAAGTGACTATGTAGAATAAAAATCCGCTTTACTTCCCTGAAAAGGCTCCCAGGAGAATGGCTGAGTTCCCTTCGTGTCTTGTGTGTGACTTGCAAAGCT